TTGCATTCAAATCCGAGTTTTCTCACCCACTGCCATAGCAATGTCCTAGTCTGGATAGGAAAATCAGCATCCTCGGTCAGAATACGAATGAGAATCTTGTCGATGGTAGGATAGATTCGCTCTGCCAATAGACAATGAATATGAAAGCTAAAAATATCGTTCATATTGATGTTACTTTTTAAACGAACCGAACTCACCGAATATTCTCTTGTTGTTTCTCGGCCAAAATGATTGATGGACGACCAGAATTTGATAGTTTTTGTGGTGGATTAGGAACGGGAAAGCGGGTTGCCTTGATGTCAGTGCTGGTGGTGGATGAGGATGATGACGACGATGATTTTGATCGTAGATTTCGAAGTCGACGAATTACCTGAAGTTTTTGATTCTCCACCTGCTGTTTTTCCTCATCCATTTTCCTCTTCTCTGCCATCATCTCATGTTCGATCTCTCTCATCTCGCTTTTCAATCTCCCGATAGATCTCATCGAGATATTCAACATGGATGAGAGTCGTTCATTTACATTAAAGAGTGGAATTATTGGCCAAAATTTCTCTTTTTCAACAAACTTGATGACATTAAAAAATATCTCTTTCATTTCATGAGAGAATTCATGACCTGTAGGCATTTTTATAACACACGATGTTAACAGAATTACTATTAATCGTTAGAATTATGTTATAAGTATGACTAACAGAAAAATACCCAAATCAGAACGCAAAAATTTCATCCAATCTATTCATGGTCATATATGTGTCGCTTGCAGTAGTGGGTATCTGTGAAATATGATGTACATATTTCAAGTTGACAATGTAATCAAGCATGAAAACAATATTATACGATCGCTAGTAAGAATGTTTTGATAGAAAAAGACTCGTTGTATAACGAAATAGTCATTGACAATCGATTCGCCATGATCGAAAACATCAGTAATGACAATTTGAAAAATGCTACCTGCAACGTTAAATTGACAAAAACTCGGTCAAATAGCGTTAGTATTTGGCTTATAACTTTTAAACGAATTGAGATAAAAATTTCGGCCTTTCGTAGATTTGTAGGCCGTCAGCCGGCGATTCTAGTTCACTACTCAAAATTTAAAATTCATTTAATTCTCATAGCACAACAGTCTACTCTTCCTAGATGACCATGAATCATCATGTGCCCATGAAATGAACTTTAACAATTTTATATGGAACGATGCGCTGGGTAAGCCTCTTTCAGATGACACGAACCCGAACTCTACAGCTGATTGTGGAGCAAAGTTATTGTAAAAATACCCGTCGGTCTTTTTTTTCTGAATGGGCATTATTTAAGTCTTCGATGTGTATATTCACAAAAATATATTTTTGCAGTTTATTTCATCTTTTATTTGATTTTTATTACTTTAATTGTGACTAGAAACTTTTACATATATGTATATATCGAAAAATACATATGGTGTTTTCTTTGCTTTGCTTTTTTTCTCATGGATACATTTCGATCGCAGTGTGTGTCCGATTTTTTCATAATTACTATGTAATTGTTAATTTTTGAATTTAAATATAAGAGAAATTGTTGCTGATCGTATTTCAATAACATAAGTTATAATTTTTATGTACATGAGCATAGTATAGCATTTACTTAAATCATAATCTATGTGACACTAATATCTAATGCATTCTACGATATATTATAGGAAATAAAGATGTTAGTTTATTCTATAATCAATGATAATAATAATGATAAGATATTGATTTATTTGTATTGAATATGAAGTAAAGCTTTGCAATCTACTAGACTTATCATAAATAGTTAGATGTTTTTTATAGCTTTAAATATTTGTATAAATCCAATATGACAAATTATAATATATATATAAATCATATGTTAGAATAATTATATATGCCAGATGCCTACGTTGTTGCAGTGGATTATAAATATTGGCATGCATATGAAACACGACTTTCACTTAATACGTACATTGACAAAAAAGAATTTATGCAGCATATCTTACGCTTTATTTTATTTATATTATTAGTTTGATTTATTGATAGTTTTGCTATATAAACATTTGAAATATAAACATAGAAATATACAAGTTATATTTTCTTTCTTTTTCTTTATTGTATGATTATTCTAATATATGATTTATATATCTTATAATTTATCATATTAGATTTATACAAACATTTAAAACTATAAAAACATCTAACTATTTATGATAAGTCTAGTAGACTGGAAAGCTTTACTTTATATTCAATACAAATAGATCAATATCTTAGGGTGTGGGTGTGGGTTTTGATAAAACGAAAATAGACACCCACATCCAACAACTGTCCTCTGTTAATTATCATCAATCCTATCATTGAAAGAAAATGAAATGAACGTCTTACTGCTAGTTGTTGTTGAATTTTAAACGAGTTTGTTTTGTTTGCCTTTACTCGTTGTCGATTGGACTGTTGCTATGCGCAGCTCTTTTCAGCGCAATACACATTTTAAAGGAATTTTTTAAGTAATGTAATAGAAGAGGACGAGAAAGACAGAACGCAAGAAAATAAAAACGTGGCCTGTCGTAAAAGTGCGAGTCGAGTCATTTGAAAAAGAACACAAACAAATCGTGCTCGATGCAAACAAGTTTATTGGCAACCGACATATCAACTGCAATTGTTTGACTGCGGTGAGTTGACTACTGGGGAGAATAAACTAGGAAACAAATATTATTATGAATGCAACATGCCTAGTATCAGGATGTGGAGACTATTAGAAACGATTACCCTAAATATAAAATCGATAATTAAGAATGACATTATATATATATTGGTCGATAAGTCAAATTGTGCCAGATTTCGCTCATATTAATTTGTTACTTATATATTAAGAACTGATCAAATATGTTTAAACCATGTGAAAGATGAAGTATGGGCTTTGATATAGACAAAAACATGACACACAGGCATACACCCACACTATATCTAAGTTTGGAAGAACAGTATTAAATAGCAAGGAATCATGTTCCAAGGAAGCGGATAAACGACACGTCACTGATCTATCAAATCAAATGAACAGGAAAACGATAATGTAGTAATAGAGTGTTTATGATTTTAACATTCTCAGGTCCGTAGTCAAATATGTAAGATGAGAAAAAGAGATCTGACTCAAATTTATCAGAATAGTTATTCTTGTCACGTATTATACCTTTGGACATGGGACGAATTTGCTTTGGCGACACCTATCTTTGTAGGGGGTGTACATGTGTTCGATGTCAGTGTAGTATGAACGAATAAGATGCATACTGTCAGCATAGGCTTGCGGATGCATTAGTGATATCTAGATCCTAGGTAAAACCTACCTGCAATATTTGTTGAAAAACACACTAGTCGGACTGTTCTTCCCGTAACGGATAATATATTTATGATTTTCAGTACTGGAGAAAGCCTAGTCTACACATGCAAACTTCGGTTTACCACGTGATAAGTTTAATATCCTGAACTGTATCACATAAATTGTATAGAGAAGGAATAAGTCTGAATTTTTGAGTACTAATTCTGGTACTAATATGAAAAAACAAACAAACAGGCCGGTTTATTCGTTCCGGTCTACAACTCGTGCTACTATAGAACAAAACCAGACCGGATTGAGCCAGTCTATAATCGGTACCGGCTTCATTTCTAGTATATGAGTCCGTCTGACTATTCTAAGTGTGTAGGCCACGAGTTTGTGGGCTGTCCAACTGGTGAATTGTTTTTATAGCCCTTATCTTATCATTTCAAACATGCTTTCAACTAGCATTTGAACACTCATTCTTAGAACTCACATCATATAGAAATAATTATTTCATGTTGAAGTCTCTTCTAGATAACGTTGCTTGTTGACAATAAATTTTTCTCTCAATATCAGACCCTTATTGTGAGCTTGCTCAGCTGAATGTTTTATTTTTGATAAGTGTAACTGTTCTCGACATTTTTCATAGTTAAAGTTATATATGTAAAATAATAAAAGATAGATAAAAGCAAACTCTGTCGTTATCAGCCAAAAGTACAAAGCGAATTATTTAAGCATAAGAAACCAAACCGCCACGATCGTAAGTTATTTAGTAGAGGAGCTTGAAAACAAAAATCTGATAGTGCAATCCTTGCAGGATGAAAAAGTGATGCACGATGAACCTGTTGTTGGCAAAATCCTTGAATTTTTTTAATCCGTATCCGAGCACAACCCCTCATCAAGGGTTACTTTAGATTATAGAGCTTGAACCGGATAATTTTCCATATGTTTCAATGATATGTTGAGTATACATAATGTCTAATATATCCATCAAGTCTTCTGTCATGATCTAAGCGACCATTGGAGACTATATGTAAAGATTCGTGACAAGCCTGATAAGAATCTATGATGGATCTTACTTCGGTCAAAAACTATCTGAGATGAGTCCACAATCGTGTCTGCCATGGGTCGTCATTGGTTCAAACTCTGTCTGTAAATAACGATAAAAATAAAATGGACAATTATGTAAGAAAGAACAAAATACAAAATTAAGAACAGCTAAAATTTGACATAATTCATAACACGTGATATTTCGGTATCTATTTCACAGATACCATTATGAGATGGTCACGGGGAGTATGTTGGGTTTGTGTATGTAGAGTATTTTTTTTTTGAGGTTTTGAACAATTTTTGGAATGAGCTGAAATAAGTTGTATGGGAAAGGGATGAGATGGGCAGGTGGTCGGTATGTTTTTTTCATATCTGCAGAAAGAAGTCGGAAAGAGTGGCTTGATTTAATTCTCTGATTTATGTTGTGAGTTGCTTGAGTAGTATGTTATTGACAACCAGCCGAGCGCGATGTATATTGTATTTTGTCTGAGAAGAAGTAATGTATAAATTGAAGTGTGTGTGTGTTGGTGTTTGATGGAATCTAGTTATCGGTGTTTGTGAATGTGGTATGTATGTTGAAGAAATTTCTCTTAGTGTTTTGTTGTTTATTAATATCAGTTTTAGTATAGATGGAAGGGTATACTCTTTATGAGTTAATCTTGATTCGTTGTCCGGATGGACGTATCCGGAATTGTTCGTTGTTTTTGTTTTCTTGCATTGTTTTGTTCTATTCCATCGGCGTAAATATAGAGTGGTACTGATCTTATGCCTTTATTTAGTGGTGGTTTTTTTTGTTTGATTAATAGAGACTCTTTAATTGATAGTTTATATTTATATCTCTCTTTTATTCGAATATTGAAGTCATCATTAGTAAATGTATGACCTGTCGTATAATAATGTTTGGCTATGGCTGCTTTAGGAGTAGGTGGTTTTATATTTGTTTGTATTATTTCAGGATTTTTCACAAGTTTCGCGATTTCTTGTTGAATGGATTGTACAGATAAAGGTGGTAATTTTCCTGTTTGTGACCGAGTAATCGACCCTTTACGTTGGACAGATGTTTTAATCGTTGAGCTGTTTCGTTTTACGGTATGTTTTGATTTAGCAGTTTTTTTCAGACATAGGTCTTGTTTTTGATAATGAAGATGCTCATGTGTACGGGTTTTAAAATGTCGAAAAGTTTTACCGATGTAATATACTTTACATTCAGGACAAGTGGCTTCATAAACAACTCCTGCTTGCATTTGATCGGGAATCGGATCTTTCAGAGTAAAACCAGTTCCTACACGTTCTTTCACGTCATATATAAGTCTAATTCTTTTTAGTGGGTAGTTCTTGTTAGTAGCGGAGATAATCCGTTTTGCATACACTTGACTTAATGGTCCGAAATAAGGTACGCGAAGAACAACAGTATCAGTAGTGAGTGATGGTAATGATATAGGAGTAGAAGGAGTGTATATAAGGTTAAGTTGGCGTCTAATAATGGAATCTATAAGAGAATTGGGAAACCCATTATTTATTGCTAATGATCTAATAAATTCAAATTCATCATGTAGAGCTTTATATGACGAGCAGATTTTAATAGCTCTATAAACCTTCATTGATAGTGCGTTATACTTATAAGTTTTTGGCACAAAACTATCCCATTTAGTGGTAAGACTAGTGAATGTAGGTTTTCTATAGACCCGAGTTTCGAAGCCACCATCCGGTTGGCGTCGCACCAGAACATCAAGAAATGGTAGTACCTGTGGTATGAAATCTTCTTTTTTTTCTTTTTCTTCACCTTTTTTTTCTTTTTCTTCATCTTTTTTTTCTGTGTTCTTTTCGTTTTTGTCCTGTTTTTCTTCTCCATCTTTTTTTTCTTTGTTTCTTTCGTTCTTCTTCTTTTTCTTTTTTTTATCTGCATCTTTTTTTTCTTTTTCAACAGTAAATGTAATCGACGGATGGTATTGCGATAGAGTATAACAAACGTCATCAACAGAAAATGTTGGGTCAAATAATACAAAAGTATCGTCCACATAACGTTTCCAGTAAACGATACCCATATCTTCAGGAGACGACAAATATTTTCTCTCAAAATCTTGTAGGAAAATTTCAGCGAAAAGTGGAGCTAAAGGAGATCCCATTGAAACTCCGTCTATTTGATCATATAATTGTCCGTTAAAGAGAAAATGAGAATTTTCTGTTGCTAAATCAAGTAACTCCTTCATATCTCCTCGATTAATCGCAGGAGGTTTAGCTTGACCATCATATAAATTTTTAAGGATTATTTCTATTGTTTCAGTAAGTGGTACATTAGTATAGAGACTGGCAATATCAAAAGATACCATCTCCTACTGAGACATACACTTTGGTAGCGCGAGTAATTCTTTAACAAATGAAAATGAATCACGAATCATATTTTTTTTCTCGATAAATTGCGACAATAATTGTGATAGAGCTTTTCCGAGACCATAGTTAAATGTTCTAATAGCTGAAACAATCGGTCGAAGTGGAATATCTTCCCTATGTACTTTCGGCAATCCGTAAAGACGTCCAGGAATCGAACCAAAAGGTTTCGCCAAATTATAAAAATCTTTAGAAATAGTACCTTCATCAAGTAGTTTGTTCAACAATTTAATTAATTTAGTTTCTCGGATGATTGTAGGATCATACGACAAAAACGAAAATTTAGTTGAATCGTTCAGTATAGTATGCATTTTCGATAAGTAGTCGACTTTATCCAACAAAACAACACCTCTGCCTTTATCTGGGCGAGTAACAACAATCGATTTATCTTCTTTTAAATTCTTTAATACATTGCAACATTTTTGCTGTTCAGTATTAATTCTATTGTGTAATTGTGCAAAACGATAAACTTGATGACGAAATGAATCAGTTATAGAACGAAAACTGCTCGCCAAAGTCATTTCTTTTGAATTAAGAACACGAACATCAGCACCATCAACAGTATCTTTATCATTAACTTCAGACATTAGCTTTTTATGATGTTGAGAAATATCAGTGATTCGATGAAAGAAGTTTTCAATATTACTAACAATATTCATATCATCAGTATTTTTAGGAACAAGACCATAATCTAATCCATGGGCAAGACAATCAGTTTCATCATTTGACAATATACGAGATGATAAATTCTTAACAACATTACGATCAACACGAGGTACTCTTCTTTGACCTAATTCAAATGAATTAATCTTTCTTTGTAAGGTATCTTCCTTTACATATAATATTGCACGCGAACGGTTAACAATATATTCGGAAACGTGTTCAAATATATTTTCCGGTATACTTTTTTTCAGCTCATCCATACGATACATATAATTCTTTTTCAATCTACGTACATCACGGTATTTAAAATTAATTTCGGCTCCTAAAAGACGTCTTTGACATTCCCTGTATGCAGAAGACATTGAAAGCCTTTCATTTGCTGTTTTAAACCATAAAAATCTAGGAATAATATTTCTAGATCGACAGTATTTAAGAAACATCAAATCGAGTAGTAACGACTGATAACGTTCATGAGCTTTTTTTGTAGAATCATACATCCGAACTATATTTCGACCATAATGATAATTTAGATAACCACCAATACTCATATTATCGGGTAATACCATAATAACAACTCCCAATGAAAAAAAAAGCTTTTGCAGATTAACTTACTCTAAATTAAAGATTTCGACAGAGCTTAGCTAGCAATACGAAGACTGAAATAGATGAGGAAAAACATACAGCATTTTTAACAAAAAACGTGCGACCTGATAAGCAATAACGAAAACGAACGGAATTTTGTTTTCTATCACACTCTAAAAGACACAAAATACCATCCGAACTAACCAGATAAATACATCAGCATTTTCAACAGGTACCATAAACACCAATAACATCACCACTACACTCGCCATAACCTAAGTTACCCAACTCTTATCTCGCTACAGTCCATATTCCCCTCAACATTAAAAACAACGTAAACAAAAAATATACTCTTCTCGCACATAAATACCATTCTTAGTCTTCCATACTGTACCACCCATAGCAAACAAACATAAAACCTATGATTCTCATTCACCTTTTTTTATGCAATACCACGCTACATGCTATATTCTAGACATTCAATTCTCCAATAACTACCCATATCTGCACGAAACTTTCAAATTTATACCTCTCTTTTACTACACAACAAGTATCAAAACAGAAAACCCAGCCCTTCAGACAACACACCCAATCTTCGATCTGATTTCCATTACGTTCTATCTTCTTCTACCTATTCCATTCGCAATACAGCCAGGATATTACTATACCAATGAAAAATGGACGTTGTCATTTAGTTAAATTTATTGTTTAATATTTTTATATTTGATCAATGAATTTAACTTATCTATTAAATGTGATGATACATTATTGTTGATGGTTTTTTCGTTTTCGTCTGATGATGGTATCTGTGAAATAGATACCGAAATATCACGTGTTATGAATTATGTCAAATTTTAGCTGTTCTTAATTTTGTATTTTGTTCTGTCTGTAAATACCTGTGATTAGTTCGAACTCCGTCGGCTCAAGCCTGTACTGACTGAAAAAATGCCGGTCGAAGTCTATCATAGATTGAAAACTTGGCCCGTCATAATTTTTGGTGAGTCTAACCTCAGCCGGTGACGAATTCCAACACTGTTCATCACCATCTACAATTTTGTGTCCGTCACAGTCTCCAAAAAATCCAAAGTCTTGAGCGTCACGATTTTTAAAGAAGAAAAAGAAGAGTACCGTCGACTTGTGGCTACCTTCCACTATGGGGCACTGTCTAAGGGCAATTCCAGAAGCCTGATATTATTCCTGCCATTATAACTACATACAGCTCTAGACAGAAGACTGGTCTGATTCAGAGTTCTTCTCGCTTAACTGCTTAAGCTTCTCATACATGCTGACTAACCACATGCGGGCCATAAAGGTTTTTTTGTATGTCGACAACGTAGCCAGCTTGCTACTGGATAGGTGGTCCGAGACAACGCAGCCGCTAATGACTTGTCCAAGGTTATTCTATTTATAATGGTGCCGAGGTTCGAACATATCATCTTGTAGATATGAGTCGAGCATCTTTATCATTCAGCCATAACGGCTCTGTGATGAAGCTAACCTCGGCTAGCGATGGATTCGTGTCACGTCTACCATGGTACCCAATCGGTGTAAAGGCGTTTATATTACTGTTTGTGATGGTGCCAAAGCCATGTCTATCGGAGTCTATGATGGGTGGAAATCCTCGTGTGACATGCTCAGTTCTGAGTCACGTAAATCTGTCATCAGCTTTTGCATTGCAGAAAGAGGAGACTCGTGTGTAGTTGTGTTCTAAGGATGCGAGAAGTGCTTATTTTTGCCCAAAGATCAAAAATTTTCTTGAGCAAAGCCTATGAAATGCAAGAAAATCTTCGTGTCCATTATCATTTGTTTTAATCGCTCTTTCTAATCTCAGCATTTATTTATGAAATTCCTCCTATATCGTAGGTAAACTTTAATAGAATTTGGTGAAAATGACGATCTGTTTAACAAATCTCATCGAATGCTGCACTAGTTTCCGTGAGATATGATAATGGAATGCCATTATCAGAAAGAGCAATTAAAATTGATTATAATCGACATAAATATTTCATTGCATTTTATCGACTTTCATTCAAAACTTTGTAATCTTTATATAAAAATTTCTTAGAGAACTTCCAAAAGAGCGGAAATGTGGAATTCCCGTATATCCTTTAAACGTGTTATTCTGGTGTCTGACTTTGAGATTACAAAAAGAACGTTTCCTTCAGTGTTTACGATAGCATTGATATTTTATATTGAATCTATTGCCTTTCAAATGCGATTACCAAGGTCTGCACTGGTTAGGTCTTATTGATCAGGGTATGTCTGCACAATTCTCTTTCGCGTTGCTATATGTCTGTAATGGAGTGGAAGAGGGCGAGGAGAGAAGCTGTCAAACCGCGAACCTAAAACTGACATTCGTTATTTTCTTTGAAAATATGCGTGAGTTCCAAAAAAATACGGATATGTTAGACCCTATTGTAATCCTTAATACTCCAACGATTTGCTGATATTTTCGTAGGTTGCATTACCATACTATAATATCCTTATGCGCTAACCTACTCCGGAAGACAACGAAATTTCGGATCTACCTAGAAATAGAGATGCAACGAATTCGAACCTTTTCCACCACAAGCATTACGGTCACTAGAACCGGCAGTATGCCGCCGTATACGGTGATCATATAGGAATGCCGTAAACGTCCACATAGCATACTATCAAAGCAAAAATATATTTGTCAAAGTTATTTTCAGCCCAATGACAAGCATTAACACCGATCCTGTAAACATGCGTTCTACTGGTTTTCGACGATATCCTATCGATTGAGGGGTATATGTAAAGCTTACTTCTGATCTCTTCACTGAGATATAGGATTTTGGTATGGTGTCGTTGTTGTTATCTATCTTGGCTACCAACCACACGGACATCCACATCTACACACTCACCCATACCTACCCACCCATATTCACATCCATATCCACACCCGCACCCATACCCACACCCACACCCCGGTCATTTTTGCGCGCATTCCACTAATTTTTGCGGATACTCTATTGATTGATGTGCATATGTCGGCGTGGCCATGCATCGGTCACCCTTCCATGGGGAACGTTTATATCCACTTAAAATAAAGAAAACTCTTACCAAATTCAAGTTTACTACTGACAGATTATGAAAGACGTTGTAAGCTCTGAGATACATTGTTGATTAGCTATATACATAGGGTAGTCAAAAAGTTCTGTCACTTTTTTATATCTCTATAGAGAATCGACGTTCAATTCATCTTTCCATGTCATATGTTTTGGGTAGTTGTTGTGACATTTTATGAAAACTTTCACCTTTGTAATCGATCCCTAGGATGTCTTTCTGAAGTAAAGAATACGTAAAAAATTTAAATTCCGGTTATTGCTGAATATTCACTAGATTTTTAACTGTTGCATACTGGATGAACTTCTAAGTGACGAAGAGATTTAATGTGATACCGTTAGCAGCTATCAGTCTTAGATCTGCCATGGGAATAATGCATGAAAATGGTTATCAAAACTGAGTTTATTAAGGGGGACCCCCCTCTCAGAAAATCCGATTTTTCAGAGACGAGTCGAAATTGAAGTTTTATCATAGGAAGATGCATTGAACTCTCCTCTTTCAGAATATCTATGGTTTATCGAAAAATGAATTGATTTTGATGAACTTATCGTCTAAAACTTCGCTCCTACAATCATATTTTTCGAGAAATTTTCACGGCTTTTTTTCAAGCTTTTTCGACTTTTTCGACTGCTTTCTCTTTGCATCAGCATTTCGTAAAGGTTTTTTTTTATACTAATCACTAAGAGACTATGAACACTTAATATTAGGATCACATATTTATAGCCTGTCTTGAACATTGATATATAAAACAGGTGATTTTCGGAAAAATCGATTTCTAATACTTATTTCCTGTTTTTCTCAAAATCGATTTTTTCGAAAGTACTGTTTACGCGGGGAAGGTTTTTTCAATAATGACTCAATAGAGAAGTGATAATTTTTTTTTAGTGCATAGTAGACAGGTAGGGCTAGATCCTCACAGGATCCGATTTTTGAATTTCTCTTTTGGTCAAATAAAAAACTTAGATGTTCCATTTTTGGTAGCAATCTTTTTGAGCATGATTTCGTGAATTTTACGAAAAAGGTTTTTTAAAAAACAAACAAAGGGAAATTCAAAACTCGGGGCCTGTGAGGATCTAGCCCTAAGGGTACTCTACAACTTGAAAACCACCCGGGCTTGGTAGCTCGTATCCTTATTGTGAAATCCTTGCCCGCGTAAAGGGTACTTTTCACCAATAAATTGACTATAACTCCTTAGTTTATTAGAGATTTGGGGGAGATATTTTAACCACAATCTGCCCTAGCCTAGACTAATATTCTCTGAAATTTTGGTTGAAATCGGATGAAAAATAACAAAGTTTGTTTCTGGGGGGGGGGCCCTTAAGCGAGGTTAGTCCTTCAAGCCACATTTACTCAAAAACAATCACTTACGACGACCTTTTAATAGCATCCAGATTAGCGTTTATCATTTAGTGCTTTCTCGAGTGGCGAGTGATAGTATCTATATTAGCTAGAAATGTTTAAGTTGATAAATAAAAATGTAATCGAACAAAACAGTATCAATATGATATTGCCCCATCATTTTTTATCACGATTTTTTAGCCACATCTTGAATAATGTCACTATATACTTCATTGTCACAATAATGATGTTAAGGTTCATCAGATGTACTCATCTCTCACTGGGCTTCCCAATGATTAGTCATTGGAAGATATTTAAGACAGATTCTACAGTTACTAGCTATAACAGTTAAGCAGAGGTAATAACCGAGAAGATCAATTTTTTATCCATTATTTACTGCAAAAAGATGTCAAACAGTAAGTTAAAAGGATGAAACTTTCCATAGAATATCGTAACAACTACCTCGAATATGTGATATGAAAAGATGGATGAAGTGTCGTTTCTCTATACAGATATGACAATGTGGCAGAACTTTTTGACTACCCTATGTATATCGTATTTTCCCTGGATAAGTGTCTGAAAATAGATTTTTTTGACGGATTTCATCAAAAAACAATCCGTCTTCAGTCCTATTAAATCTCATTTTTGTCCAAAAAACAGATAGAAGTTCTAATGTCATTCCTTTATGAGAGTAAAGTTGACATACTTAAGCGATAGACCTATCCCGATGCTACTCGTATATACGAAAAATGATGGATGTCCATCATGATAATTAAAATTTTTATGATCTTGAACCATTCCCATTACAAAGTCAAAAAATACTGAAATTCCGTAACAGACAGTATTTACGAATTTTTATTTGGTATAGTTATGCTTTCTGGGAAATGAAATGATATTTCGAAAGTTCATGGAAAATTGAATATTTTTATTTACAGCTTTTATTTGTACGTCGCCTCGTTATATATTAAAATGCTTAACACTCAGGTCAACCTAAAAAAAAATTTCCATTCTGTGAAATTCTGTAACGGCCAATATTAGTTGAATAACTCAGCTGTGGATAGATAGAAACTGATGAAATTTATTCTCATAATAGAACTCTCGTTAAAATCCATCTCTGATAAAAATTTCAGAAAGTTTGCTTCTATTTTTGACAAGCTACAGGTGTTGCAATTTGAAAAAATGAAATTCCGTAACGCGTGGCCACGCCGATGTAAAGGTTACTTCAGATCCCTGGACCGAGATATATGGTGTAGGTGTGGTGTCGTTGTTATTATCTCTATTGGCTAACAACCACACTCACACCCTCACCCAGACTCACACCCAGACCCTCAACTAAAGCAGCATACACTATTTTAGTTATGTGAAAGAAAGAAATATCTAGTGCAGATAATGACGTATTTTGAGAATTGTTAGCGCTACTAATGTTTAACAGTTTCAAATAATTTTTGTAGTTGAACTGATTAACTTCGAACTGCATTCTCGTCTCTTTTAGAGTATATTCTGCTTCTAACGTTTGTTCAACAAACACCAAACTAATGGCGACTTGTTCACTACGATTTACTAAACGAGCTCTTCTTATTGGGAACAACGACTATGAAGTGAATAAACTTCAATGCTGTAAAAATGATGCTGAAGACGTAGCTAATCAGTTGAAACGGCTTGGCTTTGAAGCTAACCCCCATTTTAACTTGAAATATATGGAAATGACAGATAAAATTAACGATTTTTTGGCAAATATTATGGAAAATGATCTTATTGTTTTCTTTTTCTCTGGTCATGGAACTGAATGGCACGAGAACAATTATCTCATACCTATTGACAACAAAGCTCTTATTCAACGACCTGACAAACATCAACATTTGGCAGTTTCCTCTCAAACAATACTTGAGTCAATGAAGAAGAAAAACCCATTTGCAATCGTATTTCTGCTTGACTGTTGTCGCGTACATATTGAAGGAACAAAAGATCTGCCAGTGCCATCAGATTCCACTATCGCTTCCACAATAAAAGGAGTACCAGGCTCCCTAATTGTCTTCGCATATGGTCCTAACGAGAAGGCATTCGACAGGTCTCCAAATACACATAACAGTCTCTTTACCTATCATCTGCTCAAACATATTGGGGAACGAAATTTAAAAATTGATGAAATGATGTGTCGGGTGTGTGATGGGGTATATGAAGATAGTGCCGGACAATTATATACTTATCGACTGAGCTCATTACAAACTTCACAAATTTACTTCAATTTCACGAAAACAGGTACAGTTTCTCTTTAAAGTCAATGAGTCTTCACTAATCATTCCATATACAGTGTATAGATAGTTTGAGTATAGACATCTGATTCCTTCAGTCTCTTATGATCATTTATATCTAGAGTGTGGATGTGATACTTATTTTAAATAACATCCACAAACTCATGTAGTGGCAATCAGAGAGTTATGTAGACCAAGAAAAACCTGTACCCTGGAAATTCCAAACACTAGGTTGTCTTTTAAAGCCGATTGGTATACTTAGATGTGGGTATGAGTATGCGTTAAAAGAAGAATTGCATCTCACAGAAATTTGACATGGATACATATATTCAAACGATGCAACCATTAATTATTAATCAAAGTAAGATGCACCGAATATAACAGAGAGTAGTGAGTTTTAATACAATACTCACACTTGGCCTTTACTGAGAAGACAACGAAATTGCTTGTAAAGCAAAGAGACATGATTTTAATGGAGAGAGTTCAATATCACCTTGGGTACCTTTTACACAAATACTATACATAAATAATGAATCATTTTCTGTTTTCAAACGGACGTGTGTAGTTTAGCCATAAAAATGAATTAGAATGTAGGTGTAAGTAATTCCGTTTTCTTCATTCACGACCACGTCCACACCTACGCCCTATTTCTTCCAGCTGAAAAAAAAACTGGCTAAGTATTACGAGAAGTAGCCTTTCTCCAAGATTTCAGAGGAAAACTAGTGATGGTGACAGCTTGTAATATTTATTGAAAGCTAAGAGCATCCCAGGTGAAACGACCCCAGTCGGATCTCGCCAGTTCGGAATAATTTCGGTCGGATCCTGTCCTATATTTGTCGGATTCCCATCGCCCGGATTCCGGTCCGGATTTCATCGGAATTCGACGGAACGTGGTAAAATCCGACCTGATCCGGCCCGGATTTCATCGTGTTCCGTCGAATTCCGATGAAATCCGGGCCGGAATCCGGGCGATGGGAATCCGACAAAAACATTGTCGGATCCGATCGGTTTCTTAAAAAACATGTCGAATTCCGATGAAATCCGAGGCGGATCCGATCGTTTTCGATCGAATCTTCAGGTCGGATTGAATCTCCTGGGATTTTAATGAAGAAGATTATCAATGTGTAGGTTGTTCGATACATATCTTTACGATACAAAAGTTAAATAGATCCACTATACTTTAATCAGTTAGACCAATTTGTTCTTCTATGATGGAAGATGAATCACAGTTTCTCATGATATGACAATCGATAATAAATGAAGTTTTGGATTGTGTGTATTTTTTTAGTATTACAGGAGAATATGAGCTTATAAAATTTCGTATGCAATGTCAGCGGCTACTATTTTCATAAGATCAGCGATTGTTTATAACTTGGGGAGAATTCCTCTATGAAAATTGTTAATAAACAAGTATATATGAGTACTCTATGTCTGCAGAATTAACTGGTACAGAAGAGTAGTTCGAAATTAATTCTTGAGGGTGTGGGTGTGGGTGTGGGTGCGTATGTAGGTTCTGGGTGCGACTGTGGGGGTAGGTAAGCGTAAATGACCATAGCCACACACACTCGACATCTACACCCACACCCACACTCACATCCACACTCATACCCGCATCCCACACCTACACCCACACCCAAAGCAACATACACAAAAGAATATTAATTTGGTCATTAATATGTATTCTTCGGGGCTAACATGGGGAAAGAAATAGGACTTAATCGTAAATGTATCTTTCCCATGTGTGTATCGATTTCAGACTATTCATCATACTCTTCATCCAACATCAATATTCATCCGAACGCTGGATGGCAACAATATGGTATTACTGTAGCTGGAGGAAATCAACAAGGAAATAAAGTCAGTCAGCTCTCTTACCCAAGCGGTTTATATGTTGATGATGATCAAACAATCTATGTGGCTGATACATTGAATCATCGTATTATAGAATGGAAATGGAATGCAACGAGTGGTCAAGTAGTTGTAGGTGAAGCTGGACAAGGAAGTAGAGATCATCAATTGAATCACCCAAGAGATGTGATTATCGACAAAGAAAGAGATAGTCTCATCATATGCGATCGTGGGAATGGAAGAGTAGTTCGATGGCCTCGTCGAAATGGGACAAGTGGAGAAACAATCATCTTCAACATCTATTGTTGGGGTTTGACAATGGATGAGAATGGATCTCTCTATGTCGTTGATGAGGTAAAAAATGAAGTGAGACGATATCGAAGAGGAGAATCTGAAGGAACAGTGGTTGCAGGTGGCAATGGATATGGAAATCGTCTCGATCAACTCTCTAGGCCACAATACGTATTCGTCGATCGAGATCATTCAGTGTACGTATCTGATTGCAACAATCGTCGTGTGATGAAATGGATGGAAGATGCAAAACAAGGCGTTGTCGTGGCTGATGGTCAAGGACAAGGAAATGGTCTTACCAAATTGTGTTGTCCTGCAGGAGTCGTTGTCGATGAATTGGGCACTGTCTATGTGGCTGATTATGTGAATGGTCGAATCGTACGTTGGTCGAAAGAAGGCACACAAGGAAGTGTTATTGTTGGTGGAAACTGTGAGGGAGGACAATCGAACCAACTTTATTGTCCTATGGGCTTGTCATTCGATCGAAACGGGAATCTTTATGTCGTCGACTGCAATAATCATCGATTACAAAAATTCAATATTGAATAGAATGGATAGACATAAAACAGAAAAAGTGAACATAAGTTGTGTGTGAGTGATCATTTTTTTCTTTATATATATTCTTAATTAAGTAAAACTAAAATAAAGTAGAGATTTATATATTAAATGCTGTAAATGTAGAGAAATTGGTTTCGCCAATCAATAAATTTCTTTTAATGGGAATTTTCGATCTTGGTTTATTTTAATGATCATTTTCAACCTTATATCACAATACTTTCAAATAACAGATATTACGACGGAACATGTATATTACAAAGATAAAATGAAAAGAAAGAAAAAATTCAGAAATATATTCAAAAAGTTATCTTGTACATCAATAATTTGCACACCATTAACATTGAACATCATAAATGATGGGAAACATGTAAATCACATATGTTGATTAATCAGGTTGGATTTACTCTAGACAAATATCCATATACCTACTTATATAACTCATGTTTATGATCTACGAACGTTGATAATGGCTTTGTATAAATATAAGGTAAATACATGATCGTAAAAATAAACCAAGATCGAAAATTCTCATTAAAAGAAATTTATTTATTAACGAAACCAATTTCTATACATTTACAGCATTTAATATACAAATTTGATTTAAATCTCATCTATTTACCTTATATTTATACAAAAGTAGCGATTCATTTTAAACTATTATTCGCATATTATCCGACATGAGTTATATAAGTAGGTATATGGAGATTTGTCTAGAGTAAATC